GCACTGGGTCCGCGCTCCGGAGCAGCCTATTTAAGCCTCTGCCCGCCCCCGCGCTCGCCCCCGTCCACGCTGAGGCCGGGGCTGACGTGTCTGTCCCCCTCTGCCCAGGAGGGATCCCACACCCTCCTCCCAGAACCTCACACCCACCGAGACCCCGCCCCACCCGCCAGGGCGGAGCAGGGCAGACTGGCAGACAAAGCCCGGGTCTGAGTGTGTGGTGTGTGTGTGTGTGTGTGTGTGTGTGTGTGTGTGTGTGTGTGAGAGAGAGAGAGAGAGAGAGAGAGAGAGAGAGAGGTGGGAGGCAAGGAAGGGGGAAGAAGTAGGGAGGGGATGTGAATGGTGCTGAGGAGGTGTAGGGTGGAGGGTGCCGTGATGGCTGGGGGCAAGGACCAACCAAAGTGTGCCAACCCCTCTCTGGGGAAGAATTAGGTCTGGCCCTTTAAAAGTAAATTCACCACCACCACCCCCTCCACCCGCCTCTTGCCCTGCCCTGGCTTGTCGCCCAAGCAAGCAGAACATTTACAGACTGGACAGACTTCACCCTTCTCTACCCATTGACACCCACTCCCCACTGTCCCGTATCTGAGCTGGAATTTAGGGGTCCTCAATCCGACTTCTAGCCTCAACACCAAGTTCTTCCCGCTCCTCCCTGCCACGGGAAGTAGAAGTTTCAGCCTGATGAGCTTGCCCTTCAGGGTGAGGGTGAGTGTCACCCCATAAACCCCTGGGGGCCTCTGCGAGCTACTTGGGGGAGGGGATAGGGAAGGGAGGCCCTCTGGCAGTGTCTGCAGCTAGAGGTTTCAGCTTGAATCCTGGGAGGGAACACAGGCCCAGAGCAGGGAAAGGATGAACTCAGTACCACCTCAACCCCCAGCACCCTCCAGACAGCTGCCAGCAACTCTGCTAAAAATACCTGGCCCTGGCCCCCGCCCTGGTCATTCTGTTTCTGGGCTGGAAGTTGCCCAAAGTTGGGGAAATCCTGGCAGGCAGGTGTCAGATGCCAGCAGGGGCAGAGAGAGAGGGAACTGGACCAGGAACTGGATCAGGGCTGGATCCAGCCACTTTAAGAGCCTCCAATGCCTCCCTCCTTCGCCCTATTCCTAGTCTGGACCTGCTTGTTCAGGACACAAGCAAAACCTGGAGGTTCAGACACCCATCAAGGAGGAGCGCCGATGCAGGGAGAAGTGGGGGGAGCTCTTAGCCACCACTGCCCAGAGCTCATCCCTTCTTCAGACCTAGGGTGGCCGCCGGGACACAGAGGGGAGATGTAATGAGGAGGGTTGGTTTCTAGTCCTGGTTCTCCCTCCGGGTTCCTGGGTCTTGCCTCCATCCCAGTCTCTGGGTACCCAGCTATAAATTGGACATGAGCTAGTCCTCCTCACTCATATATCTGGGGTATGTGAGGGTTGGGGGCAGGCAGGCTGTGAGGTGCTTCGTGACAGGGCCCTACTATAAGACTCTGACGTTTGGTTTTAACAAGTGTGGCAGGAGTGGAAACACCCATTCAGGGCTCAGGTGACATCACAGATGATGGATCCTGGTGTGCTGTTATAGGTTGTCATGGAGACCCGGTAGGGCTCTCTTAGCTGCTGAGTCAGTTTCCTTGACAACATCAGAAAGGGCCCTGGAGTGAGGAGGGCCTGGCTAAGTGTTAGGGGGTTCATGCAGTCCCCTCTCGTTCTTGAGGTCCCCAAAATAAGCCAGGGCTGCACTACAGGGTGGCCCATCCAATTGTGTTCTTCACACGGCCTGAAGGGTCTTGGAGGCCTGGACAAGCTTATGCTGGCTCTAACTTCCTGGGCCAGGTCTAATGGGAAGAGGGGGTTGTGGGTCGAGGCTCATGTCAGCAGACACAAGTCTCAAGGGCCAGCACACCACTTCCCATCAGGATCCTGGCTGGGCTGCTTATGGCCCCTCCTACCCACCGCTCACATGACTATGTCACTGAAAAGAGCTTCTGCATGTCCAGCAGAGGGTGGGCAAGAGGGGGGCGGTGGTATCTGTGGCCCTTCCCAGCAGGGAGCCATGCAAGGAATTAGGGCTGGGTTTCCCCTCTGGTAATCTGAGCTCTTGACCTCAGCAGTGTTTCTTCATTGCCAAGGGAACTGCATCCACATTGGGCCACTCAGGCCCCAGGCATTCCCCAATAGGCCAGACACACTCACTTCAAGCTTAGGTATGGCCAGGAGCCCCAGGAACCAAGACCAGGACATGACCTTCAGACACTTCCACTCTCACCTCCTGATCCTCCCAGCTTTCTCAACAAGCCGACCTTCAAATCCCAGCTCTGTCCCTCACTAGTTGTTTCACCTCTGCCCATTTATCTTGGCTGAACCTGTTTCCTCCTGTGTAGAATAGGGATATTGTCTTGGAGGGGGTTGTTATATCAATAAAGTAGTTGGCACATGTCTGGTATATAGTAGTTTCTCAATAGGAACACTTTCTTTTTCATGCTTGGTTGGGCAGGGCAGGTTGAGTGAATCCGTGGGCCCTGTCCTGTTTCTTCTTTCCTGCTTCTGCTCTGTGCTCTCCAGAACAGTGATCTTCTCTAGATAGGGGCAGATCCCTCTCCTCTCCCCCCCATACCCACCTTTTCTCTGTGGGACCCTCACATCCTTCTCCCTCCCTTCTGTAGCAAAATGCTGCAAGGGGGACTTGGCTAGGCTTCAATATCTTTAGCTCTCCTCACACAACAGCCCCCACACCTCAGTTCCTCTGTTCTTGTCTAAAGTCCAATTCATTCATTCATTCATTCATTCCACTGACTTCTACTAAGTACCTACTGTGTGCCCTCAGACCCTTGTGCTGTGGGCATGATGATAAGCAAAAGTCCACATAGCTGGTCATGTTCTACATGCCATCTAGTCCTGGGTCAATCTCATTTCGCTATGATTTGTCATTTCCATTTTGCAGACATGGTAACCGAGGCCTGAGAAGTCATAGGCCAGAAACAGAAGAGCCAGACACACCCGGTAGAAGGCTTTAGAGACCTAAAACCTCAAACACCCCCCACCCCCCAACCCGGTACCCATGTCCTCAGACAGCACCTGGGTTCCAGAAAGTTCCCTGGGCACTAGCCCAGGATTCACAGATGGTGTCCATGCAGGCAGCCAGGGGCCAGACACATGAGTCAAGACTGACAAGGGGACTGTCTGATGTGACTGCTGTGACATGATCAGCTTAATATCCCTTGCCCACCACGGCCTGGCTGCCAGGAGGGCCAGCGGAATGACTCAGTGACACCTGCCTTCCCGATGACTTTCCACACCCGGCTGAACAGACACCACAGACACCTTTGAGAGATCAGGGCTGTCAGTGTGTATACGGGTGGTGAAGCTTACAGCCAGGTACTGGTGGTTGGGAAGGCTCCCTGGGGCCTGAGGGACCCTGGCTGGTCACCCTCCCTCCCTGGAGCACTGAGCTTCTCCGTCTGTGTAAGTGTGTGTGTGTGTGTGTGTGTGCACACGCGCGCGCGCGCGTGGGTGGGGAGGTAACAATGCCTGGAAGATCACCTGACATGGGCCCAGATCCATTTTAAATCTCCACAGACCAGTCCCAAGTGATTGTCATGACCATCCCCACATGACATGTGAAGAAACTGAGGCTTCACCTCTCTGAGCTCGGGCAGCCAGATCTTGTGTCTCTAGGGGAGGAAGCCACGCCCTCCCGGAATTGGGGTGGGGGTGGGCGCAGGCCCTTCCATTCAGGCAACAGCGCCCCCTGCCAGCTGAGCTGTAACTGCTAAACTGCTTTAGTCCCTCCTTACTCCCTAGAGGTCTTGGGGAGTAAATTACTTATTCTAGCAGCTCATCTCACCTGCAAAATAGGGATAATAGAGAGTAGTAACTGCTACAGAAATTTGGATCAAGAATCGCCCGACTAGGTAGTATATGTGTAGTTGCCACCAGGATAGGCTGTGTTGTCAGCCGGCTCTGGAGAACAGATTTACCAAATGCTCAGACGCCCTGCTGAGGCCTCTGGAGGTCTCTGCCCACAGTCACTTCTGAGTCTCAGCCAGGAACACCTAACTCAAACCTAACTCACTCAACTTCTGGTTTACAGGAAACACAGCAGACAAAGGAACAAATCAAACCGTGGTACTTCTCCAGGACAACTCACCTGGACTTTTCAAAAAAGTCAGTGCCAAGGAAGATAAAAAGGTGGGGGTTGGGAAGAAGAGAGGTAAAAACCAAATGCAAATACGTGAAACTCGACTAGAGCCTGATTTAAAAAACAACTATGAATGATGAGAAATTCACATATGACAGGATATTAAATGGTGTTAGGGAATTGTTCATTTTTTGCCAGATAATACTTTTTTTTATTGACTTCAGAGAGGAAGGGAGAGGGATAGAAACATCGATGAGAGAGAACCATTGATCTGCTGCCTCCTGCAAACCCCCTACTGGGGATTGAACCCGCAACCCAGGCGTGTGCAGCGACTGGGGATTGAGCCCGCAACCCAGGCATGTGCAGCCGACCGGAATTGAACCCAAAACCCTCCAGTCTGCAGGCCAACGTTCTATCCACTGAGCCAAACTGGCCAGGGCACAATCTTTTTAAAATATCTTTTTATTGATTTGAGAGAGGGCGAGGGAGAGGGGGAGATCAAAACAACAATGATGAGCAAGAATCATTGATTGGCTGCCTCCTGCACGCCCCCTACTGGGGATCAGTCCCAAAACCCAGGCATGTGCCCTTAATCAGAATCGAACCTGGGACCCTTCAGCCAGCAGGCCAACCCTCTATCCACTGAGCCAAACCGGCTAGGGCTCTTTCCAATTTTTTTTATATATTTGCAACTATTCCTAATCAAACCATCGAGAGAATTTTTTTAAATAAGCTCAACCTGTTATAGGCACTCACTATGACCACCCTCCCACAACCTCAAGTAACCCAACCAAGATGAAAGACGCGAAGGCACACAGGAAAATGAATATAAATTAAGGGTTTATTACAAAATGCAAAGTGTGAGTTTCTTATTGTCAGTGATTCAAGAAGACAAGGTCATGAGCCCTGGGTGAGGCTGGAGGCTTTTCGAAAAGCCAGGCTCAGGAGCGGGCCGACAGGCACTGGTTCACAACCTCCAGCAGGTGGGTGTTCTCCAGGGCAGCTGCCACCCGCTCCTTATCTGCAAGTTGCTTATTCACTGCATGGGAAGGAGGTAGTGGTAATACGTGTATATACTCCCACCAACAAAGCCCCCCACCCCTTATCTCCTTCCCAGGACCCCACGCCTCAATCAGGCTACGGCAACCACCGGAGCCCACATCTGGAACCCCTCCCACTTCGCTGCTCAAGTCTGCCTCCCATAAAGCCTGACACCCCCTGGTCCGGGGCAGTTAGGAGGTGGGGGGGACGACACAGTAAGCACAGGAGACACCAGTCAGTCCAGCTTCAGTCTAGGCTGCCACCTCCACTGAGGAGTCACCCACCCAGCACCCTCCTGGCTCCACAAACCACCAGGGCAAGGGGAAAGCTTCGAGGCCAATGCCTCAACACCCCACACTTACCTGCATGCTCTGAGGCATGGGTCCCTGGCGTAATGTGCACGTCCATCTGGGAGGGAGACAGGTAGAGCCTGAGCCCTCAGCCACCTGTCTATCCCTGCTTTCCTCTCCCCCATTCACCACCTCCTAATCATGACTCTGAATTCTGGCCCTTCCAGTAGACCCCAAATCCACCCGGAGCCACTCCCCTTCTCCCCAAAGGGCCGGCCAACTGCTGTTGACTCAAAAGCATTCTACCTGTGCCCCGTCCCTGCTCCAAACCTATCGTTAGCTCCCTGCTGCCCTTCCCGACCCCACTCCTCACTACTCTTTTGCACTTTCCAGCTCGGGCCTTTACTCGTGTTGTCCCTCCCAGTTTTGTCCCTTGTTAGCTGGGATCCTTCCAGGTCCGTGTTTCTGCTCTTCGTGTTCTCCTCGGTAGCAGATAATTCCACCCCATCCCCAGCGCGCAGGGCCAACTTACTTTGAAACGCTGGGGGAGAGATCGCAGGAGCTTGACTTTGATGGACAGGCCAATGAGGGTAGCCATGCTGCAGTGAGGAATGGTGGGGGTGAAGGCCACTGCCACTGTGCTCTCGGGGTCGCTCACCTGGGTGGGGGTGGGCTGTCAGAAGTCTTGGCGCTTTCAGCCCAGCGTTCCTCTTCTTACTTTGTGGCTTGGGAGCAAGTCGCCCGACTTCTATGGGCCTCAGTGTCCTCATCCATAAAATAGGCACAACTCCCGTCCCCTCCATCCCCCCCGCCCCCCAAGATCCCCTGAGGAGTCCCTGAGCTGAGAGAATGGCGGCCGCTTAGTGAACAGGTGAACCTTTCTGACTCCTGAACCAGTCGCTCCCCTCGGACGCTCGCTGGCCTGACTCACCTGAACCCGCACTTGCTCCACTACGTTCAGTTCCTCTAGTGTCAGCGGATGCTCCGGGTCATTGATGGAGCGAATCAGATGTGGCCAGTGAAGGAAAGGGGCCTCTGCGCCTTTGCCCGCTCTGCACCCTCCGCCGGGAATGCCTGCGCCTGGCACAGCTCCACCGACCACTGGACGTCACTTCGTCCCCCTCCCCGGCCCCCGCGAACCCGCCCGCGCCCGGCGGCGGATA